GACCGGTTCAGACCGGTTGGACCGGTTCAGACCATATCTTCATGTTTTTAGTCCCAGTTCATATTCAAGTCTCATTTTCAGTTAAAATTTCGGGTCCAGTTCAGTTCAGTAAATTAATATCAGTTCAGTTCCGTATTAACTGGTTTCAGTTATACCGATTAAATCCAAATATCATGTCAAGTCCAGTAGAGCATCTTAACATATTAAAAAATATTTTTATCAGTCTGAGCATAGTACTTAGTAATTGTTTATATTATATTTCAGTTTGATCAGACATCAGATATCAGCACTGCCTTTCATTTTCAAAGGATCAGGTGGGGACTCAGACTGGGTATTACATTGATTATAATTACATTGATTAGTCTGCCCACTAGAGTGTGCACATGGTGTCCGACATTTTTATGCTGGCAGATGTTCAGTTATCAGTCAGGTGATGTTTATCATGAGATCAGTATCAGATTATTCAGTACCGGTATCAGTATCAGTTTCAGTTTCAGTTTCAGTTCACTTCAGTTATATATGCCAGGATCATGATATTGTTATTATTTTCACTGTTTACTTTAGTATGAGTTTCTGCGGAGCACAGTGGATTAGTGCTCAGCCACCACATTATTCATGTTTTTCAGGTCACAGAGTCGGAGCCGAGGAGTGAGCGGGCAACCGGTTCAGGACATTTGTAGATATGTGTAAATATTGTTTTGGCTACACTATGGTTTCCGCTACTATTTCAGTTTACCAAACCAGCTTTTGATCCGACTCCAGTCGGTTACTATGTTTTATAACCGTTTTTTATTAAACTAAAATAACGGTTTTCAGATAAAGTCAGGTTTTACGGTAGCACTCCGAATCAGTATTTCGCAAAATAAATATTTTTTATTTAGAAAAATTTTGTGAAAAGCGCGCTCTGATTTTCATGAAACAGCGGGGTGTTACAATTGGTATCAGAGCACGTTTCTGCGTCTTTGGAAAATTTTCACAAGTCAGAAATTTTCAAAAACCTGAACCGTCATGCTCACGCCTCGCCGACTACAGGTAAGTGCTGATTTATGTTTTTAAGTTATAAACAAATTACTTTGTCTATGCTCAGAAATTTATTAATCATGACTTAGTTAAGATGCTCGAATTAGGTTCAAAACTTATAGTTCAGTGTACTCAAATATAACTCTAGATGTTCTCAGGATTAATGTCAGTATTTTTCCAGCCATGTTTGGCAACTCGTCAAGAGATCTGTGTGCTTTAGTAATCAGTAAGAGTATTTTTCATGTGTTCAATAATGTTGAACTTTTTCAATGATCAGATGCCGCCCCGTAGGGATCCCGATCATCCGGTTATTCCCCAGGCCACAATAGTCGCACAATTCTTCGACTATCATCTGGAGAAGTTCTCAGGTCAGGGGGATCCTCGTATTGTGGACGAGTGGATTCAGGGCCTTGAATTGATTGTCGAGGTCATGGACTGTTCAGATCGCTATCGCGTTACTTGCACACAGCTTCAGTGACCGGTGATGCTCGACTCTGGTGGAATGCCTACTGGAGTATGAGTACCGGCGAGAAAGAAGGTTGTACCTGGGAGAGGTTCAGGGAGATAATCCGTGAGAATTATTATCCCACGTACTACCGAGCAGAGATGGAGCGTCAGTTCCTGTCGCTCAAGCAGGGTACTCGTTCTGTTAATGAGTACGAGAGGGAGTTTACTAGACTTGCAGCTTTTATTCCAGACTTGGTACGTACGGAGGCACAG